CAATTGCAACTCATCCTGGTGGCATGTCATCTGTTCCCCAAGGTGGAAGAAGCACCAGCAGCCTTTCAGGATTCAGGAACTTGGGGTATCAGCCCTCGTGGCCCCAGGAGCCCTTGGCCTTATTGCCAGGGAATAGTGGTGGAAGTTGTCAGTGGAACATATTCCTGTGCTGACAGACATCAGTGGCCACCTGCTGCCTTCCACAGCTGGATCAGTGATCCCTGGAGGAGGAGGGTGAATGTTGGTGGATTCCCAGCAGCAGCTGCAGAAATCTGCTGATTGCACCAGGGATGAGTCCAGTCAGTGTGAGCTGAGGTCAGGGAGTCACAGAATGGTTTGGGTGGGAGGGAACATTAAAGACAATCTCCTTCCACTCCCTGCCATGGGCAGGGACACCTTCCACTAGCCCAGGTTGCTCCAAGCCCCGTCCAACCTGGCCTGGGACACTTCCAGGGATGGGACAGCCACAGCTTCTCTGGGCAACCTGTGCCAGGGCCTCCCCACCCTCACAGGAAGGAATTTCTTCCCAATATCCCATCTAACCCTACTCTCTGTCAGTTTGAAGCCATTCCCCCCTGTCCCGTCACTCCAGGCCCTTGTTCAAAGTCCCCTCAAGTCCCCATTAGGCTCTGGAGACAAACCATAATTTAGCATCCTCAGAGGGAGGTTTGCAACACGGCTGTGCAGCATCTTTGGGAGGTTTGGCTTCTGCTGAGGCCCAGGAAGGAAGCAGCAGGTCAGACACCCCAGAACAGGGTGTCATCCCCAGCAGAGCCTGCTGGGCTGGTCGGTTGGGCTGACCTTTGAAACGCAGGGAAATATTTCCTCCTTGAGCTGCTCTGCAGAGATAATGACTTTTTTAATGGTTTTCCTGTTCTTTTTATAGACCAAGGGAAGCTGGTAGATTGCATCCAAACTGGCTTTAGTGAGAGCTGGGCATGGTTATGTTCACTGGAAAACCTGATCCTCTCTTTACCCATGTTTTTCTTTGGTCTGATCCAAAGCATCACATTGAGGTTCAAACAGGCTTCAGTGAGAGCAAAGAGGAATATTGGGGAGTGTAAAACAGTGATTTGTAGGTGCATGGGAACAGCCCCAAGACCTGAACTGCCCTATGATCTGATCAAAGGTCCAGTGGTGACTCCAGCAGTGGCAGGAGGAGACAACATGTGGGCCCAGTCCCTCCTGGCATCTGCTCCCTGTGGACTTCTCCAGCATCCACCACTGTTATGCTACAGTTAGAGGGCACATTCTTCTCTCTTGCTTCTACTGTCTCTTCCTCTATCTGTTGTCCATAAAACTGCTTTGAACCCATGGATACTCCCTGCCTCCCACATCCCAGGGAGGTAGAGATTCACTGGTCCCACAGCACAGAGGCAGGAATTCATTTCTCATCTGCCCTGGGGGGTTTTCCTGGGCCACAGTAGGACAAGTATTTTATGTCAGCTCCTAATGAATCCTTGTGAGCAGCCTTCAGGACACTCTGCAGCTCTGTTTCCCTAAATTGCTCCAGCTCATTTCAGGAGAGTGATGGAATCCCCAGTATTGGGAGCACCAATTCAAAGTCCACCCACCTTCCCAGCAGTGACCAGGATTTACACCCTGTGTTACAAAGTGGAGAGTTATCACTTTGTTCCTGGAATTCCATCTGCACTTATCTCCAAGCTGTTAATCTGAGTTTCCTTTCAATTACCATTCCTCTCCCTTTCCCTCCCTGTCCTGCCACAGATCTGAGCAGCCAGTGATAGAGATCCACTTGATAAATCCTCTCCTCAGCTGATCCCTGGGCTATTGCCTTTACCATCACCTGGGCATCTCCATCCTCTTGCCAGACACCTTCCTGTGCCACCCTGGTGCTGCTCACACCTCCACAGAGGTGTCCACTGAGCCCCCCAGCCCTGAGATCCTCACCCAGCACACAGGGACAGCATCCAGACAAACCTGCAGCCCCTGCCCCTCTCTTCATCTCCCTCTGTCCCAAGTGAGCCCCCCCTGCCCTCCTCCCCTGCCCCAGACCCCTTCCCCCACAGCCTCCCCTCTCTCCCCACAGGCACAGAGCAAAGAGGAGACCAGAGCAGCCACATGCAAGACCCTTGGGAAATTTTTCTTTTAATGAAATCTAATACTCCTGTTATAAATGACCAGCCTGGAATCCAATTAAATTCTTGGTCTCAATGACTTCTTATCATATTAACATTTCACTGATCATCTCCTTATCCTTGGCCATGAAGCACAGAGAGCAGGGCACCTGCTCCCTCTCTCCAGGCCTTTTAGGAGTTCTGTCACATCCCTTTGGACAGCCAGCTCTGGCTGAACAGGCATTTCCAGGTGCCTCTTCCAGCCTGTGCAGCTTTAGGACCCTATCTGTGCCCAGATCTGCATCCAGCCAGGACCCTGGGGATGCTCTTCAAGCTGCTCCATGATTTCCCCTTCCAGAGTCCTGATGTCCATCTGTTTTTCTGGCTGCAGCTGCCCCTGAGCAGGAATTTTGGGTGAGTATCCTCTGGCCATTGCAGTGAAATCAGCAGAGGCTGCTCCTTTTGCCAAGGAAGAATTGGAAAAACAGGCAAAGCCTGGAACAACACAACGAATGGCTGAGGAACAGAGGTTTGCTGGGTCTGGGGCCAGAACATACACCTGGGACACCCCCAAACCTGGCACTGGCTGGCAGGGACACGGATCTGTACCCCCAGGACACAAAGCTCAGGGCCAGGCTGAGCCTGGGGCAAAGGGTGTGTGCTCAAATCCTCCTGATCCAACTGTGTCAGCTGCCAGGACAGGATGTGCCACCTCCAGCTCTGCCCACACTGGTGGAGGGGATCTCCAGGCACGTGGCACTGGCCAGCCCTGGTCACAAACTGAGGGCAGCCTGGCAGCAGGGGCAAGGTGAGCTTGAGCTCCCTGGAAGCCCAAATGCTTTGGGACGTGAGCATCTTGGACCATATTTACTGGCAGAAATGCTGGTGTGGCACCAGTTTCAGAAATAAGGGAGTTCAACCCTGAAGGGATCAACTCTCAGCCCCGAGCACAGTTCCCACAGCTGCAGGGGCATGGGCCTGGGTGACAGGGGACACATGTCCCTTGTCACTGCCCTGCTGTGTGTCTGCTGATCTGCAGCTGCAGGATCTGGGCCCCTCTGCCTCTGCTGTGTCTCCTGATGCTGTGCAGAGCTTCCAGCCCATCTGGCAAATTAGGGAGCTGGGAGGAATTGCGGCTCCAGGATGTTGCAGAGACTGAAAGCACAAACTGATCTGAAAAAGGGGGCAAAAGAGAAGGAGGTGGCTGTGTTGGCTCTCTCCGAGGTCGTTAAACAGGGGGCTGAGCAGCCTCTGCCTTGGCTCTGAGCTGCAGTTAGCTGGGCACTAACCAGGAGAAGGACTGTTGTCTGCACATCCCATTCCCTGTGCTTTCCTCCAGTGCTCCTTGGGAGCTGTTGGTAGATGTGGGATATTGGGTTAGAGGAAGCTGAGGGCTTACATGGGCTTCCTCTCATCAGCAGCTGAGGGAGGTTATCAAACCCTGTCTGTCTGAAAGCAAACACATTCAGATTCTCTCCACGCCCCCCCTGCCAACCTCCCCACCTCCCACAGCATCTGGAGGAGCAGCAGGGATGCCTCAGCTTCCCTGTGGAGGTGCAGACTACAAAGGGCAGCTTGGTGGGGTCTCCTCTTCTCTGTTTCTCTTTGCATCTGAAGCACTGACCACATTCTCACCCCACAGCAGGGGCCAGGGCCTTTGAGCCAGTGCTTGCTGTGCTGGGGGGTCCCACCAGGCTGAGGATCCAGATGGGATCAGCACTTCTGGAACATCAGCCTCCCATCAGTGCCTGAACCCTGGACATTATGGGCCTATTTATATCAACCCAGATCTCGCTATCCAGACTGAGCCCAGCTCTTCAGACTGAGAATTTCTGTTCCAAATTTGTCTTTTAAAGTAATTCCAGCCTGCTGAAAATGCAAAATGAAACCAAATCCGTGCAGGAAGGATCCGTGCTTTCCTTGGTGAGTTGTCTCAGGCACTCATTTATTAAAGGCAGGGTGGAGGTAACAAACACGTCTCTCTTGCCTGTGGTCCAGTTCTGGTGGCACCAACAGGCTGATGGTTGGGGTTCAGGGGTGGCTCTGACAGAGACCACCAGTGCAGATGGACAGATGTCAGACAGCTCTGACCCTGCAGGCCTTGGGGAACAGCCTTCCTTAAACACCCAGAACATGATGGTTGTGATGCTGCTCCTCACTCTGACCCTTTGGAGCAATAAATACAGCCTGGGAACACCCCACAGTGAGCATGGAGTGAGCTCCAGTGGCCCAGCAGTTGTTGTGACAGGTCAGTGAACCCCTCACTACAAGACATTGAGGGGCTGGAGGGTGTCCAGAGAAGGGCAACAGGGAAAGGGCTGGAGCAGCAGGAGCAGCTGAGGGAACTGGGGGGGCTCAGCCTGGAGCAAAGGAGGCTCAGGGGAGACAACTCTCTACAAGTACCTTAAAGGAGACTGTAGGCAGGTGGGGGTCAGGAAGTGACAGGACAAGAGGAAACAGACTCAAACTGCACCAGGGAAGGGTCAGGTTGAACATCAGGAGGAATTTCTCCCTGGAAAGGGTGGTCAGGCCTTGGCAGGGGTTGCCCAGGGAGGTTTGGAGTCCCCAGCCCTGGAGGTGTCCCAGGAAGGCCTGGCCGTGGCACTCAGTGCTCTGGGCTGGGGGACAAGGTGGGCATCAGGCACAGGGGGGACTCCATGGGCTTGGAATACTTCTCCAACCTCAATAATTCTGTGATTCTAGGAATGACAGGAATGTTCTGGCCATGGGCATCATGTCTGGTTCTCCTAAGCTCTGATGATGTGTACTGCCCATTGTGGTGGCCTCTTCTGATACAAAGTGATCTGGAACTATTTTGTCCTACTTCTCCTCTTCACTACCTCTGGATGAACCACATCTGGCCTCTCACTTTCTCCACCCAAACACACCAGCCTGGCTCATACTCTGCAGTCAGATGGCTCCTCTCTGCTGATGCATCTTGCAGAAGCTCCGGGGGGGAGCCAGGTAACTTTGGAGCTTTGCTTTAGCCCAGGTAACTTTGGAGCTTTGCTTTAGCCCAGGTTACTTGGGAGTTTTGCTTTCCCCACCATGTGCTGTTGGGTCACTCACTGACCCAACGACACAGAGAGTTTGGAACTGCCTTGCTGGGCTTAGCTTGAAAATCCTGCTCCCTCTTTTTCTGGCATTACTTGGATGAAATACAAAGTTCATTTTGACACTGGAAACCATGCAGGGAAGAGACTTGCTGGGATGAAATCCTCTAGGAGAGTACAAGAACATGTTTCTTTTTATGGCTAATCAGCATAGCTTGGTAGAGGGGAGGGGAACCTTCCTGGGAAGGTCCTGAGCTGCTCTCAGCGGTTAAAGAAGAAGGACTTGAGGCTCTGTAGAAACTGTGACTTCTGTCTCTGCTTCTGCTTCTTCCTGATGATGGGGATCCACACAAGGCCACAAACAAGCAGCATCAGCCCCAGGGACAGGAAAGCCGGGCCAGACATTTTAAAAACATTTTTGTCAACCTTCAGGAAGCAGGACAGGATGATGATGACTGTCCCGAAAAGGAAGATGGCAGCTCCAACAGACACCACGATCACAGGCTTGTGGTAGATCTCCCACTTGCTCCTGGAGGTGCTGGTCCAGATGGACTCGCTGCGGGAGCTCATGCAGAGGGTGCTCCCTGTGCGACTGGTGATGAGCTCCCTGGAGGGAGGAGACCTCTCGCTCCCATCAGGGCTCCTGGGGGGGATTTCCATGGTGGTGGGGTTTGAGGAGGTGACCTGCGATGGACAAAAGAGAAAGCAGAGCCGGGTAAGTGATGGAGGATGGAGGTGCTTCCCTTTTGGTCACCAGTAAGTGCAACTCAAAGGAAGGTGGAGGAGGTGTTGTGGGTCACTGCAGGGAACGAGGAGCATCGCACCTGTGAGAGCAATGGAATGTAGGAGCTGGCAATGGGGGCCTGCAGGTAGGCTGGACAGAAGACGCCTGTGAAGTCCCACTGCCCAGCCATGGATAGTGGGACTCCTGCAGTCCCCGTCCCTGTCCTTACACCTTCCAGCTCACCAGCTCCCAGCTCGCACAGGGATTCCGTGGTGGAACCCACTACCTGGAACCTCCCCGGGCTCTTGGCTGCTTCCAGGGGAACAGCAGGGTGCTGCAGGCAGGGCTGGTGATGCTGGCTCTGTCCTTGGACCCGCTTTCCCTCCCAGATCCCAAATTACACCCCAGCACCTTGTGACACGGTCGTGTGTCCCTTTTGCAGGTGGAGAAGCTGAGACACAGGAGTGTCATGTCAGGAACACTCTGTGGGACAGCAGAAAGCCCCTTCCCATGGGTTGAAGGTTCCTTCAGACCCCCGGGGATGGATATTCCTCACTGCCACACCCAGCCTTGTAGCAGCTGCAGCACGGGAGCTTCTCACTTTTACCTAAATGCTCAGATGGGAGGTGGGAAGTCCTGGTCCCACAGGACTTGTTTCTCCAGCTGTGAGCTGGGGGAGGTCCTGTGGGAGGGCTCCTGGGACAGCTGGGTCAGCAGTGTGGCTGACCCAGTTTTTCATCAGCTCAAGGGGTAAATACATTTTCCCAGAAATAAAGTGCCTTTAGCACTGAGAAAACATGGGAAATGGGAAGGGCTGAGCATTATGGTACCCACTGCTTGCTCAGGGCTCTGCTGAGGGCACTGCAGGGGTCTGGACTGGGAAGTGTTCCTGCTGCTGGGAAGCCCAGCAGGGATGAGCCCGTGCAGATGCCAGGGCTGAGGAAGGCAGGAGAGAGACATGGATGCTTCACACCCAGGAATCAGATATGGTTTTGCAAAGCAAACTCCTGCCTGAGCTGCCAGGCTTCCTCCCGGGGGCTCAGTGGTGTCAGGAGGGCTGGGACTGCCCTGTCCTCTGCTGGGCCCACCCTTGGGGCAAAGGGGTGCTCTGCAAAAGCCTGGAGCATCTCCCTAGTGCCAGCACCACCAAGCAGTGCCCGGTGGTTGCTGCCAAGCCCAAGCTGTCCCCACGGGGCTCCCCTGTGCTCCCCAGCAGTCACATCCACACTGGCCTGAGCACAACACCCCAGTGAGGCTCTGTGCCCTCTGCACTGCCAAGCACAGCTCTGCCTGAGCACCACACGAGCTTTGAGTCTAAGTGGGCTTGATCCTGAGCAGGTAATTTAATGTCCTGCTTTGGCCTTCATTTGCCTGTGTGTTTGCTCAGCCCAGCCCCGCTGCTGGCCCATGGGGTGGCTCTCCAGGAGCTTCACATCCTGGCTGATCCCAGGCTGGATGTGCACCCTGCCTGTGGCTGCAGCAGCTGTGGAGGGGCAGCCCCAGCTCTGTTGCCATTGCTGCTGATCAATGTGAGAGCAAACAGCACCTCAGTGCAGCCACACGAGGCTGGCACAGCTCCAGAGGCACCATCTGAAGGAAACCTACCCATATTCCAACCCTACTGGGCCCAGTGCCCATCTGTGGATGCTGATGGCTGGGTGCCAGCCAGCACCTCCTGTACTCTTTCACCTGTGTCCCTGTCAAGGTTTGTGGCTTACTCTGAAAAGAGACAGATGTAATTTTTCAGAGTAGTGCCCCCCAGCACAGACACTGTTGCAGATGTGGTGACCCAGCTGTCACAGGGTAGGGCACTTCAGTGTCCTGCTGCCACCCAGCTCAGGAGCCCTCCCACAGCACCAGCCCCTGCCCACAGATGGAGAAACAACTGGAGGTATCCATGTTTTGCCAGACCAGGACCAAAATGAAAGCCAAGAGCAATGGACAACATTTATATCCCTCCTGTCTTTGGTTTTCACTCCTCTCTGTTGGAGCAGGAAAGACAGGGACAGAGGAGGGGACACATTTCTGCCACCTTAGTATAGAATCCCAGAATCTCTGAGGTTGGAAAAGCCCTCCCAGCCTATGGAGTCCTCCCTGTACCTGATGCCCACCTTGTCCCCCAGCCCAGAGCACTGAGTGCCACAGCCAGGCCTTCCTGGGACACCTCCAGGGGTGGGGACTCCAAACCTCCTTGGGCAGCCCCTGCCAAGGCCTGACCACCCTTTGCAGGAAGAAATTCCTCCTGATGTCCAACCTGACCCTCCCCTGGCACAGCTGGAGGCCGTTCCCTCTCCTCCTGTCCCTTGTTCCCTGGGAGCAGAGCCTGCCCCCCCCCCCAGCTCTCCCCTCCTGTCAGGGAGTTGCAGAGCCAGAAGGTCCCCCCTGAGCCTCCTTTGCTCCAGGCTGAGCCCCCTCCCACTCCCTCAGCTGCTTCTGGGGCTCCAGCCCCTTCCCCAGCTCTGTTGCCCTAAATACATGATATGTCTTCTACAGCCCTTGATCAGGGATCACCAAGGACTTGACCAGGCAGGTAAGTTTGGTCACAGTAGCAAGTTGTGGTTTCTGTTCTTCGTCCTTCTGAGCTGCTAATCCCACCTCTGCAAGCTGGACTATTGCTGCTCCTCCTTTCCTAGTGCAAATCCTCCTCTTCTTGTGTCAATCAGACTCCTCCTGAAATGTCACCCTGGGGTGGCATTTTTTGTCTTCCTCCTTGTAACATCTCTCATGGAGAGGTTTTATGGTCAAGCCATGGTAAAATTTTAATTTGGCTCTGCAGTTAGAAATTTGCTTTATTCTCTGGAATAATCCCCAGATCTCACACCTCAGCAGCCTAATCCAGGCCATCCTGTCCCATATTTAGGCACCCCACTCCCTGCTTGCCCATGGGCTGTGTCCTTCCTCTGCATCCAGGGGTGCTCTGAGCTCCGTGCGTTGTGCAGGGAGTTAATGTCAGGCTGAAACCATCATCTCCCTTTCAGCTTTCCATTTCCTGCAGAGTGGATTTATTCCCTCTTTTTATTTTCTGGCAAAGCCACCCTTCTCACCACAATTCCCAGACAATGCTCATTTCTCCAGCACTTCCTGGCAGAGCATCCTTTTTTGGTCACACTTTTCCCATTGTTAGCTAGGGAAGGATTCCACTCCCTGCCAGTGCCTGGGAGCTTGTTTGGAAGCACTGAAAGGATCTGCAGCTCTTGGGAGAGTTAATGCAATTCCAGTTCCTGCCTTGCCCGTGCTTCATCCCTAATTCATCCCAGATGTGCTCAGATTTGATGGTTGGCCTGAGCAGTCTGGCAGCAAAGTGCTATCAGATTTCTCCCAGTTTTTTTAACCACCGTTGTTGGAAGGAGAGAATCAGCAGATGACTCTTTGCTGTCCTGTCTCAGATTTCACATCTGGTGTGTCTGCTGTGCTGCTGAAACCCTGGTAGCTCTCGGAGCTGGACGTAACGCCGGGATCTTTCCCACTCCATCAGGAAGAGCCTCGTGTGATTCTGTTTCTCCCCCCTTTGCTCTCCCAGTGTTTTGTGTGGTGATGTTTGGTTTCTGAACTGGGAAGTCTTGGTGTCCTGTTTGCTGGTGCTGCTGGGGACCCCAGTGCCAAAGCACAGCACACCCCTGGGTACCACCTTGGGGACGTTGGGGACATTCTGTGGTGGTGCTGAGCGGGAGCTTTGGGCTGAGCAGAGCACCTGAGGGCTCTGTCCCAGGTCCCTCAGCCCATCCCACGGATGCCATTCCTAACCTGCCAGCCCTCAGGAGCAGTTCTCAGCCCTGACATCCCAGCCAGGACCTGGGATGCTGGAAAGGACCTGCAGATGTGACCAGAGCTGTGCCAAAAGCGGGGCAACAGCCCCATCTGAAGACTCTGTCCCTGTGCACAGCCCTGAGCCATCCCAGCCATGCAAGAGCTGGATTTACTGCCCCAGTCCAGTCTTCAGCCTGGCCATCTCCTTTTCATCTGGGGAGGCAGCCCTGGTTCTTCAGGAGCTCCCGCATCTCCTCTTAAGTCATCACAGCAGCAGTTCCTGCCACTTCTCATCCCACTGTGCATGGCTGGGGACATCAGAGCTCCCCCAGGGATTTGTGTCCATCTCCACCTGCATCTTCCTCATGGAGACCCCTCTCAGTGTCCCAAAGTGCAGCTGGTCTTTGCCCTGGGACTCAGCAGGTGCCATCCCATGGGAGCACTGGTGGTGGGGCAGGTGTGGACCTGCCCTGGTGCAGAGCTGTGGGTGCTGGTGGGGTGCACAAAGGCTGCAGCTCTTGTCCTGTGTTTCACCACACAAACCACTGAGGGAAAAGCTCAGGATTTTGCAAACCAACCACCAAATACTGCTGCAAATCCAGGCCAAGTTTATGGACAGATTTTGCTGCCTTCTCTGCTGTCGAGCCACTGTCCTGAATAAAGTTCCTCACTCCACCAGGCAGCAGCAGAAACCCCTCTCCTAAACCAGATTCCCCTCCAGCCCCACATCCCTCTGGGAATCAATAGCCTCAGAAAAGAAAATTCTGAGGAAATCCCAGAGTGAGCTGAGCACTCCATGGATGTGGCTTGCCCTGATTCCTGCTGGGGAGAACCAAAGAGACCAACCTGGACTGAGGGCCAGGCTTTTCCTGAGGGCTCAGACCCTGCCAGCTGTCCCCAAGAAGACAAAGCCAGTGAGTCCTGGCACCAGGACCCCAGACTGCTGGGTTGGGTGAGTGGCAGCTCCAGTGCTGTGGAGAAGTTGGGTGGAAGTCACCTGGACACAGGTGTGCACACACTTCCCCCACCTGGCTGCCTAAGGTCCAGATAGTGCCCCAAAGAGAGGGACCCCCAGACCCTCCCCTTTGCTCCACAGCTCTCCAGGGTTTCCAGTGGCCTCCAGATGGCTCGTGATGGTCCCCTGGCAAACATCAGCATCAGGTGCTCTGCAAAGCCTCGGGGAAAGACCCAAAGGGTTTGTCTGTCCTTCAGTCAGAAGATGTGCCCAGTCTGCCACCCTAATGGGGCAGCAAAGTCTTCACTGGTGGGTCCCAGCTGGGAGGAAACTGGGGAATGGAGGAAAACCAAGACGTGCTTTTCGGTGCGTGGCTTTTCCTGCTGCTCTGGAGGGTCTCAGCCAGACCCTTTGATCAGTCCTGATGTTTAAGCTCAGCAAAGACACACTGAGATGACATTCCTGGTCTGTGTGTGCCAGGAGGAGGTGGCTGCACTCATGGACATGTGCACACACACACTCAGCAGAAACATTTTATTAGATGTCAGTGCTGCCAAATTTAATGGACAGTGGCTGTCAGTCAGGGTCCCAGGGAGGGACAGGTATGAATGACCCAGCACACCTGAGGGTGGAGGGGGGGACCTGTCCTGCCCGATGCTGCCCCATGAAGAGCATCCCCACAGCCCCAGGTCTGCACGTGGGGAGGGGCTGGGGGGGAACAGCTCCCAGTTCCTGTGCCAGGGCAGGGAAGCCCCCAGGAGGGACTGAGTGCTGAGCCCACTCCCCACGCTGTGTGTCTCAGAGCCCTGTCCCCCTGCCAGACCCCTCTGAGCCCATTCACCTTGCTGTGCCCCTCTGAGCCCACTCCCCACACCGTGTCTCTCTGAGTCCACTCCCCATGCTGTGCCCACTCCCCACGCCATGTCTCTGATCCCACTCACCCTGCTGTGCCCCCCTGGCCCCACTCACCATGCTGTGCCCCCCTGGCCCCACTCACCATGCTGTGTCTGTGTCCTGGCTGTCACTGGGCTGTCCTGGCTCGCTGTGGAAGGGGAGGTGGCCACTTGCCCTCACCATCCCCTGAGCACTCCACGCAGGGACCCCCCCACCGGCTCCTGTGGGCACAAGAGCAGCATTTCAGAGCACCCAGCTCTCTGCCACCACGTGCCAGCCCCAGGAGGGCTGGTTCTGCTGGGCTGGGCAGGCTCTGCCCTGGGGGAGGGCAGGGAGGTTGTGTTGGTGCCAGGGATGTGCTGAAGCCCCACGTCCCTGCCCCCCTGGAGAAGGAGGGGCTGGCAGTGGCTGGTGCTGCTCTTAGACTGGGCTTGGGGATGTGAGGCAACACATCAGGGGGCTTCACATCACCTACAACCCCACCAGGTCTCAGGTGGAAATTGGGAAGGAGCCAGTGTCCCTTTGCTGCTGAAGTGCAGCTGGGCTGGGCCCAGGCCCCTGCATCTTCAGGAGCAGCTTTCCAGCATCACCCAGAGTTTGGATGGTCCCAGCAGCACGTTCAGGGACTTGCTGAGTGAACAACACCTGCAAGTCCTTTTAGGGGCTCAGTGAGAGGGTGACTTCCAGCCTCGCCGTGCTGGATCTCCTCTCCCTTTCCACCACCCCCAGAGCCAAACCCACGGACACCCATCCTACTTACGTGGAGAGCAGTGAGGGCTGGCTGCAGCAGGAGGTCTCCCTCTCCAAAGCCAGGCTCATCCCAAGCCCCTCATCCCTCTGGGTGTTGTCTACTGGGCTCTGTTGAGTCTAATAAACAATGGAGCATCCCAGCTCCGATGATCTCACCAGCCTATCAGTATATTGCTTAACTCCTTCTTTCCCTGCCTCTGCCTCCTTGAGAGCTTCCCTGGGAGGGTTTGCTAAAAGGCTGTGGTTTGGGAGGCAGGCCAGTGGTGTGGCAGGAGAGGCAGGGTGGGTCGGTGCTTGGAGTAGGAATCCAGAACTTGGGGCTGATGCTGATCCAGACTTGGATCATCAGCAAGTTCCTGAAATGTCTCTGAACTGCAATTTGTGCCCTCTCAAAGCAGGGAATCAGAGCCAGCGACTGCAAAGTGCTTTGAAGCTCATCAGTGAGATGTTAGAGGGATGCAAGATATTAGCAATTATCTATTAATTAACATCCTGAGTCCATTATTGGGATGGAAGAGAGAGCTGGTTCTGGAATACTGTTTCCTTTCAGGAACCCACAGCCAAACTTCAATCCCCTCTTACATCACTGTGAATCCACTTGCCCAGGGAAGGGATCCAGCCTGGATTCCAGACATTGCTGGTGTCCAGGGCCTGCTTCCAGTGGTGGTGGGGCTGCCTCCATCCCTGAGGGCCTCTTGTTGGTTTGGTGCAGTAAGTAAGTGTCCAAGGTGCACCACAGCCCTGGCCAGATGGGATGGGGTGGGATGGGAAGAGGCTGTGGAGCTTCCATGGAGATGGACATGACCCACAAGAGTGTTCAGCTGGGCACAGAGCATCCCACAGCAGCACTTGGGGGTGAAAGAGGGGTCCAGAGGGTCAGGGTGGGGGGATACCAGCTCATCCAGGTGCTGGGAGCTCAGCCAGGAAGGCCAGAACCTGGTTGAGGTGCTTCAGCTCAGCTCTGTGTGAATCTCTGGCCAGCAGTGGTGGGCATGGGACAGGTCATGGAGCTCTTCAGGAAGGGGCAGAGGCGGGATGACCTCAGGTTCCTCATCCATGGTCCATCCTCACCTCCTGCTGGGAGGTGGGTGAGTTCACTGAGCACAATGGCTCTGGAATAACGGAGTGAACTCCACTATCCATTGATCTGGGAACCTGCAGCCAAAGGAACAGGGTGTTTTGGGGGTGTCCAGGGAGGATTTATTGGAACAGATGAAAAGATTCTCTAGAATGGGGAGAGCTGAGTGGACTTGGGTTCCCCAGCGCAGGTCCAAGGGGGGAAGTTTTCTAACCTAAAGAAGTAATTGGCATAAAAAATAAGATAAAAATAGAGGTGGGAAGGCTTCATTTCAGCACCTGCAGCATCACTTCACATCCTGGTTTTACACCATTTCCAGGCTGAACTGAGATGCTTCTGCCCTGCTGGGGAACATCTTGTGCTTCAGCAGCATCCTGTGCTTCAGAAGCTGCCCCGTCCCCTCGAGCCTCCGGCCGCGGCTCCTCCGCGGTCGCTGCTGCCACCGCGTGGGGACACGGGGACACCGGACAGGACTGAGTTTAACAAAGACAAGCGTCGGATTCTGCCCCTGCAACGGGACAACAACGGACGGACAGAATGGGAATGAGATGCTGGAGAGCAGTGCTGGGAAAGGGCTCTGGGGATCCTGGTGGTGCCAGTTGTCCCTGAGTCAGCAGTGCCCTGGCAGCCAGGGGGGCCAATCCTGTCCTGGGGGCATCAGGGAGGGGATTGTCCCACTCTACTCTGCCCTGGGGCGGCCTCACCTCAACATTGGGGCAGTTTGGGGGGACACAATGGAAGGAAGGGATTGAGCCATTAGAGAGTGTCCAAAGGAGGGAAGGAGGATGGGGAAGGGCCTTGATTTGAAGGCGTGTGAGGACACTGAGGGCACTTGGTGTGTTCAGCTGGAGAAGAGGAGACTGAGGGGAGACCTCAGTGCAGTTCCACCTTCCTGGGCAGGGGCAGAGGAGGGGCAGGGACTGAGCTCTGCTCTGGGGGGCCCAGGGACAGCAGCCAGGGAATGGCTGGAGCTGTGTCAGGGCAGGCTCAGGTTGGATCTCAGCCAAAGGTTCTTCCCCCAGAGGCTGGTTGGGCACTGCCCAGGCTCCCCAGAAGCCTGTTCTCATTTGGAGGATCTCCTCAGTTGGAAGGGACCCACAAGGATCATCCAGTCCAACCCTCAGCTCTGCACAGGCTCATCCCCAAGAGTCACCCCCTGTGCCCCAGAGGATCAGCCAAACCCTCCCTGAGCTCTGGCAGCCTTGGGGCTGTGCCCACTGCCCTGGGGAGCCTGGGCAGTGCCCAACCAGCCTCTGGGGGAAGAACCTTTGGCTGAGATCCAACCTGAGCCTGCCCTGACACAGCTCCAGCCATTCCCTGGCTGCTGTCCCTGTTCATACAGAGCAGAGATTGGAGCTGCCCCTTGGGAAAAGCTGCAGATCCCAGTGAGGTCTGACCTCTGTCACCTCTTCTTCATCTAAACAAACCTCAGCTACTCCTCATGTGGCCCCTCCAGACCCTTCACCACCTTCCTGTCCCTCCCTTGGACACTCTTTAACAGCTTTACATATTCCTTATATTTCTTGTATTGGGGTGACAAACAGTTTATTCTGCTATAAAAAGGACATGCTCTGCCACAGTCTTTTCTGATGGGGGAGGAGAGCACTTTCCCATGAGTGTGGAACTGCTGGAGGGTATGGCCAGGACAAGGGAGAAAGCCCAGGCTGGATGGAGCCGTGCTTGGTAACCTGCCCAGCTCTTGTGGCTCCTGCAGCAGTAGATGGTGCTGTTGCCCTGCAGGATCACAGAGTCACAGAATCAACCAGGTTGGAAAAGACCTCTGAGATCATCCAGTCCAACCCATGACCCAACCCCACCTTGTCACCCAGACCATGGCAATGATGCCACATCCAGGCTCTGCTCAAACACCTCCAGGGACGGGGACTGCACCCCCTCCCTGGGCAGCCCATTCCAAGGGCTGATCCCTCTCTCTGGGAAGAACTTCTTCCCAATGTCCAACCTAAACCTGCCCTGGTGCAGCTCAAGGCTGTGCCCTCTTGTCCTACTGCTGGTTCCTGGCAGCAGAGCCCGACCCCCCCCGGCTCCCCCCTCCTGTCAGGGAGTTGCAGAGAGTGAGAAGGTCTCCCCTGAGCCTCCTCCTCTCCAGGCTGAGCCCCCCCAGCTCCCTCAGCTGCTCCTCACAGCACTTGTGCTCCAGACCCTTCCCCAGCCTCGTTGCCCTTCTCTGGACCTGCTCCAGCCCCTCCATGTCCTTCCTGAACTGAGGGCCCAGAGCTGGACACAGCACTCGAGGTGAGGCCTCAGCAGTGCCCAGTCCAGGGGCAGAATCCCTGCCCTGCTCCTGCTGCCACACTGTTCCTGATCCAGACCAGGATCCATTGGCCCTTCTTGGCCACTTGGACATGCCTGGTTCACGTTCAGCTTCCTGTCAAACAGAACCAACAGGTCCCTTTCTGCTGGTTAAACCTAAATCAACAGCTCAGGAATACTGGATCCATCCCAGGCTTCTGCCAGGGGAACCTGCACACTTCCAGACCTTCTTCCCCTCTCCCCAGCAGTGGCACTCTGGAAACCTGCAGTGGAGCTGGGCAGGGTTTGCTGCTGCACAACTGGACCAGCAACCCTGTTCCAAGGGTCCCAGGACACAGCAGCCCTTTCCCTCTTTTTTGTCTCATGGCAAAGGGACCTTGGATATTCCAAAGAGTCACCAGGGAACCCTGAGCAAAGCTTGTGGTGGTCAGTGCCCCTGGGATGACCTTCCTCCCCTGGGATGCAACTGAACCCTCACCTCCAGTCATGGCTTGTGTGGCAGCTCTGAAGTCCAGCATGGCTGGGGCAGGGATTTCCTGGGCAATGTCCTGGACTGTCAGCAATTCCTGTCTGGAGCATCTCAGCACCTGTAGCATTCCCAGGTAAAAGCTCTGTGTCCTCAGCCCCTCTGAGCCGAGTCCTGGAGCTGCAGGGGGGGAGCAGCCAGGCCCTGAGCAGGTCTGTGTCACAGCACAGCTTGGCCTGCAGGTGGATGGAGGGGTTTGATGTGTTGGTTTTTTTTTTTTTCTTGGTTGCAGAGACAATATTGCAGAAATAGTATTTTCTGGTTGGAAAATTCCAAACCTGAAAAGGGAGATGAAGCAAACCAATGTTTTATGTGAAATTATAGTGGAAAATCTAAAAGGTTAATTAACAATTTGATTTCAATACAGTAAAGGGGCATTTTTGGATATGGGAAAGGGACCAGTGGGCAAATGCAGCCCGTGAAGGGTGTTCAGCTGTATCACAATAAAAGCCATGTGAGAGGGAGCTCAGAGGGGTAAATGGTCTGTGTGGGGCTTTTGTTTCAGGAGGATTGTACTGGGTGATCTCCAGAGCTCCTCTACAACCCCAGTTATTTCTCTGATTCTGTGAGTTTTGGGATCCTTTGTGAAGTTTTTGCAGAGCAACAAGGGGACCTGAAGCATCTTCCAGCCTTGCTCATGGCCCGTGGGGGCTTTCCCAGGCCTCCCAGACAGAGTCATCTCCAGCTGACCATGTGGGAGCCATGCAGGAGGATGGAGAGATCTGTGTCAACCAGGCTGGGCATGGAATGGGGGAATCCAGGCAGAAATCCAGGCAGGGAGAGGTGGCAGGGGACAAGTCTGGTGGGAGTATCTTGGTGTTGTTGCAGAAACATGTCATGTCACCAGTGTCATGTTGTGATGGTCCTCGTGGCACCAAGTGCAGTAGAGGGGCTTCAAGGAGAGACAGGACAGAGGTACCACTGCCCTGCAAGGCCCAACTCTCTGCTCAGGGAAATGTGGGGGCTGTGCCCTTAGTTCAGCTGTGTGTGAGGGTGAGGTGATGCTGAGCTGTGGCAGGATCCTGTATTTACCAGGTTCACCATTTCAGATGTTACCAACCCACAGGGAAGTGTTCTTTATGTTTGAATTACTACAGGGGGAGAGATAACAACTCCATAATTAGGTTTGCACCTTTGAAATCTTATATTTCTTTTGCAGCTTGAATATTTATGCAATCACAGAGCTGAGCATGTCCCAGTTCTCCACATTATTTATTTATGT